CGAGCGCCTCTGGCGGACGCACTCTCGACTACTTCGTTGTACATCATAGTTTACAGCATGGGCACAAATTACGTCTTCTCAGTTCAGTGGCCACCGAGCCACGCAAGCCCGTCGCTCTTACATTGCAGGCCTCCAAATGTAATCCTCTCGTGCAGCTGGTCAAAGATCCGCGTCGCTTTCCGTATGCACGTCCTGACGGACGTGAGCGTCGGCCCTGGGGATGGCAGTGGTCGCAGTTGGCTGAGGCAGTACCAGAACCCACCCGCACACCGCAGAGCACCTGGGTTGACTTCATCACCCTGGCCGAGCAGCAGTTTGTGGACATCTACCAGACAGATCCCAAGCAGGCCGACAGCTACGTGGGCAGGGCCAAGCCGCTCCGTCTCGAGCAAGCGCACATTCGTGTTCCTCAGCGGCTTCCTTTTCCTCGACTGAGCGCCCTCGCCAGGTGGTGGAGGCGCGCCGCCTACGCCTTTCATGCCCTCGGTCATTGGCACAGCAGTCAGTATCGCAGACGTGCGCTGAGAGCCTGCCGTCGTTTGCATCACGAGGCCAGCACGCCTCCGTTTGTGAAGTTTTTTGACAACGAGTCTCCCTGGTTGCAAGCTCTGTTTGGAGCGGCTGATCTGCCGCCAGACCTCGCGCGTGCGTTCGACAAAAGGGCCCGAGCCAGAGCCAAGCGAGAGCACAAGACGGCTGGCAACGCCAAGAGTGCCGAATGGCGCCAGTGGGTCCGTGACAATTCGCGTGATGGCGTTGCTGCCCTATTCGCCTGCACGAAGCCGCACACGCCTTGGCACGCCACATCCAAATTTGAATCAGACGGCTCCTGCAGAGCCGCACCCGCGTCATCCAAAGAAGAGATAGAGCTGCTACCGGCCGAATGGCGCGCCTGCTGGAATGTTGGACAGATCAACGACTCGCTTGATTGGCCAGCAGATCTAGGGCTACTGTTTCCGGAGCCGTCAGTCAGGGAGATGACACAGGTCCTTCGTTCGTTCTCGGCTCGGTCGGGGTGTGGGTTCGACGGCGTCACCCCTCGGCAGTTCGACCATCTCCCTGACGAGGCTATCAATGTGATCACTCGCATCATCATGGACATTGAGGCGAAACGTGAATGGCCAGTCATTCATGTTAAAATTGTTTTCCTCCTCAAGAGAACCGGAGGCCTCAGGCCGATCGGACTCCTGCATTGCATTGCGCGAATTCAGGGTAGGCGTCGCAGACCCCTTGTGCGTGCTTGGCAGGAGCGCAATTTCCGCTCCTTCTGGTGGGCCACGGCTGGACGCGGCTCAGATAAACTCGTGTGGGTCCAATCTGCGATGTCGGAATGGGCCGTCGGCCGCGGATTTTCCAGTGCTGTGGTCCGCCTGGACCTCGGAAAAGCTCTTGAGCAGATTTCGCACGCTAGGCTTCTGGCTGCAGCGATGGCCACGGGCGTCTCGCTCCGCCAGCTGCGCCTTCTCGTGGAGTTGTACCGAGCGCCCAGGATCTTGGATCTTGGCGGTCGCGCCTCGGACATCATCTCCACAGCGCAGGCGGTCGTCCCCGGCTGCCACTTTGCCTCGGTCGTGCTGCAGCTTATCACTCTGCAGCCGCTCGATGTGCTCAGCCGTGTCCACCCGACCGTACAGAAAGAGTCGTCGTCGATGATTTCGGGTTGCACGCGTACGGTCGGGAACAACACGTGCTTGAGCAGCTCCCCGCGGCCACCGAGTTATTGCACTCAGAGCTGGCCAAGGTGGATCTGCGCGTGAAGCGCTCTAAGAGTAAGCTACTTGCCTCCAGTGCCAGCCTCATGTTCGCGCTGCAGGCCAAGCTTCGCCGTCACTCTGTCCAAGGCACCAAGACGGAGCGCAACCTCGGCATCGATTTTTCCTGTGGACGGCAGGCCGCGCGCGCTGTAAGGCGTGAGCGCAGGCCTCCCGCGCAGGCCCGACATTGCAAGCTGCTCCCTATAGGCCGACAATTAAAAAGACGACAGTTGCATCACATGGTGCAGGCAACCATCCCGTCAGCTACGTCGTACGGGCACCAAATTTTAGGTACGAATGCTACCGAGCTTCAGATCGCCAGGCTCCAGCAAGCCCAAGTCGAGTCCACCCACGTTGACGGGAGCTCTGTCACGCTCATGCTGCTCCTCTCGGATGTTGATAACGTTGACCCTGCTTACCCGCTCTGTCGAGGGCCGCTCGTTACTCTCGCCGACGCAGTTTGGAGCTCTGCGCTGCCCCGCGCTGTTCTCGCGGGCGGAGTGCGAGATGCGTGGAAGCGCCTGCAGCAGCACTCGTCGCCTTGGCAGAGCATCCAGGGCCCCTCCAGTGCCTGCGTAGCCGCAGCCATGAGGCTTGGAATTCCCATGGATGGGCTCCAGTGGCCGCACCCAAGGATCGGATCCTTCTCTCCTCTTGACCTCTCCCATCGGACGGTTGGGTTGGTGGTTGATCGGGCGGTGGAGCTCTCGTTATACAAACGGGTAGCTGACCATCTGGAGTACCCAGAGTTTGAACACGGCATTTCACTTCAACCTCTGCGCAAGGTGACCCGCAGCAAAGTCACCTCCGCGCAAGGTTCCGCATACGTACGCAGTGTAGTCAGCGGTGGTCAATGGCCACAACAGCGGCAGTGTGACAGTGGTCTATCCTCCGAGAGGCAGTGCCAGGCTTGCACAGATGCTCACGGCACACTGCTACACAGGCACGTCAGCTGCCCGTATCAAAATCAGTTTTGCGAACACGAGCCGCCTCCTTTCGCCAACTCATTGGCGCGTGCGTGCAGCATTGCGCACCAGGAGGACGGAAAACCTTCCCTTCCCCTGCTCCTTGCTGAGAGGCTGCTTGTGCCGCTTGCTCCTCTCCCCGCTGCCCCTCGTCCACCAGGCCTCTGGCTCCACGGCAGCGATGGCTTCTTGCAGGGCCTTGTTTTTCTGGACGGAAGCTTGCGTGACAAAGAGCTTCCCACAGCGCACCAAGGGCTAGGTTGGTCTTGTGTACAGGTGCCCCCTGACTCGAACAGGGCCGAAGCTGTTTTAGCTGGGTCCCTTGACTATATCGTGGCGGACATAGACCTGCTTGAGCTGTGGGCGCTGTCGCAGGCGCTCTCGTTGTCTCTGCCAAGCACTGTTTTTTTACAGCGACTCCGCCTTCGTCGTGAACGGCCTTGAGAGAGGCCCAGCGCTATGTTGCTCCAGCGCTTCGGCATGGGCCGAGGTATGGCGTGCGGTGTGGTATAAGATCTCGGACTGGGGGGGTCGTGATCTCGTCGACGTCGTCAAGGTTCGGGGGCATGCCACCCGCGCCGCTGTGGAAGCTGGCCGTGTCGAGCCCTTCCACAAAGCGGGCAACGACCTTGCGGATCGTTATGCTAAGCAGGATTCGGAGTACTCTGGTTTGGATCCTGTGCTGCGCAGGAAGCTCGAGGCAAAGGACACTGTGCTCCTTCAGTATGCTAAATGGGTCAGTCGTGTGGGCCCCGCCATGGTCGCTTCCGACGCCCAGCACGTTCCACCTAGCAAGCGGAGCCCTGCGCCCCATGTCATCAGGCTCAGTGTAGCCCGCCTCCTCCCCTCTCCACCCCCAGGTGTCTGCTGGCTGCAGACCTTGGCCATGCACGTGTCGCGATCAGCGGTGGGCGCACTCATGCCGTGCATCCCTTTCGCCTTGCCGAGTCTGGTCTCTGGTGCGTGGCATGTGCTGTCGGCGGTGCCAGCGGACCTGGCACTGTACCCGCCCTCTCTCTGCCATGCCCAGGCCCTCCTGCCCCCACCTCTTGGGGAGATAGGGTGTTGAAGGGCCTGGCTAAAGGGCGGTATCAGGTGAATAAGAAGTGGTTCACGCTCACTGAGGCCTGGGCGACTGGCCGCCTCGCGGGCGCTGCAGGTGCCGAGCCCATCTCCAGGCTCCCGCGGGCTGTTGAGGAGCCCGCGGCAACCCGCTCGGCTTTCGTTCGTGAGAGCCAGCCGTCAGAGGCTGGCCAGGAGGGGCCCACGGTGGTGGCGTAAACGGTAAGGTGCGCCACCCACCGCGGGCCAAGTACAGGTGGCCCAGATCGAACTGGTCCGCTCAGGCTGCGTCCAGGAGGAGGAGGAGGAGGAGGAGGAGGAGGAGGAGGAGGAGGAGGAGGGCACAACGTTCTTCCTCGACGTCGCCATCGTCGACGTGTTGAGCACGGATTCGGCACTGGAACGGCAGCGTGCGTCTCGAGACGGCGCCGCTGCATGCCGCATGGAGGACGAGAAGCGGACGAAGTACCCCGGCGCCAACGTCGTGCCCCTCGTGATTGAGAGCTACGGGCGAATCAACGTGAGCGGCATGGCATGGTTGCGCCGGGCGTACCGGGACAAGCCAGAGCTCTTCCAGAGCTTGCTCCGCGCTTTGAGCGTCCACGTGCAAAGCCACACGGGCGCCATGATCATAGCGGCCAGCACTGGCCAGCACGGCGCGCCCCGGCAGCGGGCCGACCAGGCGTAGGCCGCCACGCCACGCTGGTCCACCTCCCGCTTGTTTGCCCTCCCTCCTCTTCTTCCCCCTCCGCCTCCGTCCTCGTCCCTCTCCTCTTCCCCTTCCCCCTGAATGTGGTGACGTTTACCCGGCCGGCCAATTCAGTTCTGCTCGCCAGTGCCTTTTTGAGGTTTCGTGCCAATTACGTGCCCGAATGCTTCGTGCAGTTCTTTAGCCTGAATGAGTTTCGGTGGCGCCTACCCTCCTTCGTCCCTCTTGTCCTCCCTCCTCTCGGCCTTCCTTCTTCTGTGCCTCTCCTCGTATGTGCCACCTTAGCTCTGCCTTGAGTTCGTGTTTGTTGTCTGATTTCGACCCGTCCACTCCAGCCATGCGTCCTGGAGAGGGAGCCACGGGGGATGGCGATTGTTTGACATCGGCGGGGACACTGTGATCCCACGCCGCCCATCGGTCGCCGCTGATCCGTCGAGCAGGAGCGTCTGCGGCAGCGGCCCCTGCAGTCCTGTGGCGGACTCTCGGCCGACACGCCTAACCCCGGTGGCCATGCGTCCCAAAGTGGGACACATGCCGGGGTTGCGGATCCAGCAGGAGGAGGAGGAGGAGGAGGAGGAGGAGGAGGAGGAAGGGCCCATGGGAGCACGAAAGCGGCGAAGTATGCCGGGGTCCCCGAAAAATCCCCTCGGCGGCGTTTGTGGACGAGTCCACACCTCGGAGCCCCGAGGCGGGGCTGGCGAGGCGTCGCCCAGCGCGCCCTCCCCTCGGCGATGGCATGCGGGGGCGGGGTGGAGGGCAGCAGCTTCCGCAGTTGGGCTCTCCGACGCTGGGAGGCGCTGGGGCGCCAGCGTGTCAGGGAAAATGCCCGGCGGCGGGGGCGAAACCAGCCGCACACGGCAGTCGTCGTAGCCCCTCCGTCCCGGCCCCCTCTTTGCAGTTATCCTGGCGAAGGGCCCGACCAAAAGTGGCTGCGAATAACGCGAGGCAGGGGAGACGAAGGCGGGGGGACAGCAAGAAGAAAGCAAGGAGGGGTGTGGCACAATTTGTGATCACCGCATGCAGACTATGCCGTTGGGACCTTCGGCGGGGTTCCCCATGGAGCCTCATACGTGTGAGAGCGCAGTGGGCGGGGGAGACTCATGCGAATTGTGTCAGTAGGACCTTCGGTGGAGCTCCCTATTGGGCCACGAAACACTTGAGGGGTGTGCCACAATTGGCGGGGGGGACGCGTGCGAACTGTGCCACTAGGGCCTTGGGTGAGCTCCCTGTGGGGCCACGAACCGCGCCAGAGGCGTGCCTTAACAGGCGGAGGAGACACGTGCGAGCTGTAGCTTGGGCCTTGAAAGGGGCTTCCTATGCGGCCACGAACCGTGTGGGGGTCGTAACGCAAGCGGCGGGGGAGACGCGTGCGAACGTGGCATTGGGGCCATGGGTGGAGCTCCCCATGGGGCCACGAAACATGTGAGGGTATTTCAACATGCGCAAGGGATCCGCATTCGAACTCTGCCAATCGGATCTCCAGTGGAACTCCCTATGGGGCCACAAACCGCGCGAGGGGTGCGCCGTAACAGGCGGGTGAGCCGCGTGCGAACTGTGCCAGTGGAACTTTCGGTGGAGCTCGCTATGGGGCCACGAACCGTGTGAGGGGTGCGCAATAATGCTGTGGCACTGGGGCCTTGGGTAAGCTCCCTATAGGCACGAACCGTGAGGGTGTGCCGACATGGGCGGATGAGACGCGTGCGAACGGTGGCACTGGGACATTGGGTCGATCCCATTTATGGGGCCAAGCACCGAGGAAGGGGTGTGCCGTAATGGGCGGGGGGGCGGGGGGGCGGCGCATGCGAAGGGTGGCACGTGGGCACTTGGGCATGTGGAGCTCGCCACGAATCGTGCGATGGGGTACGCGGTCATTGACATGCGCAGGGCAGAGGCAAAGATGGGAGGAGGGAGGAACGGGAAGGAAAGAGAAGAAATGAGTGCGACGCGGGGCGTCGTCACTTCAAAACGAAGACCCAACACTACGGGGTGGTTGGGGAAACAACAAAGCAAGTGACAACTCCGACACAACGCAAACGGCAACCCCTCTGAGTTTCAGGAGGACCGAGGCGACGGCGTAGAGCAGCGGCAAAAAGGTGGCAAGCAGCTCCCCGGCGCCCAGGCGCCCCGCCAGCGGCGGCGCCGCGCTCCTCTTTTCGTCCGACCCTATCCTCCTGGCCATCATGCGGGCCTCCTCGCGTCGTGGGGGACAAGGCATTACGGCGGGAGGCTGTTGCCAGTAAGACAAAACTGTTCGGGATGGACCCCCCCTCAAAGAAAGGGTCCAGACCTCCAGTGGTAGCCCCAGGCCCGGGAACGGAACAAGACCTCCAGGGGCCCACGCTGTGAGACAACTCACGACCTCGGTCTGGGTCCTTGTCCTCCGTGTCCTCGTCTTATCCTCGTGCTCCTCCGCCTCCTCCTCCGCCTCCTCCGCCTTGTCTACCTCCTCCTCCTCTTCCCCCTCCCCGCACCCCTCGCTGTGTGTTGAAAGCAGCGGCGTAGCAGGGGCTAAACACATCAGGCGCTGGATAGAGACTTATCGGCGATGCGGCGCCATCCTCCAACCCCCATCTACTCTGGCCCCATTGAGGCGGCCTGGAGGGGAGTGTAGGGAGAGGCTTCGATGCTTTGGGCATTTTGTTTGGGCCCTCCCTGGAAGGCTCCAGGTGGCCAACACTGGACACGCCTGGAAATCTTGCGCCAAGGCAGGTCGGACAGGTCAGGGGAACCTCAGGGCGGTGGCCCGACTTTCACGTCGTGAAAAAAGATTGCTGGCGTCTGCTGGTCGCCCTCGGCGCTCAGGGGTGTTTCCTGGACCCAGGGGCCGTCTGAAAACAGTCCCTGACCCAAAAACCATAAAATCATTGGGATCCGTCGCCAGCCCGTGCGCCCGCTCCCTCCTGCACATCTCTTCCTCCTCCTCCTCTTCTTCCTCCTGTTCCTCCCCCTCCTCCTTCTCCTTCTTCTCCTCATCCTTATGATCCTTCTCCTCCTCATCATCCTCCTCTTCCTCCTCCTCCTCATCGTCCGAAGCCATGTTGGCTCAAGACTATGACCCCCCCGCGGAACGCACGGACACCGCTAGTCCGTGGCCAGTGCCAGTACGTTTACGCTCGACATGTTTTTGTTTTTTGGCCAGCACCGCAGGGGCTCCTTGGCGGCCCATCCTCTCCCGACGATGTGCAAGTTCTGTACGCTTCGTCGCACTGGTGCTCCTTTCACACATTACGATATCAATGAGAAGTGTTACAGCTGCAAGCTCCACAAGGGAGTATGCTTCAAATGCGTGGTCCCTCCAGATGCCCCCGGCCATAATAAGAGGAAGTTCGGCAACTCCATCAGGATGCAGGCAACACCTTCGGCGGCCATGGCCAAGCAGGAACGACGTTTGCATCCCTTGGGGGCTGAGAGTAAACGGCTGCGGGCGACTCAGGGACCCGGCGGCGCTGCCGCCAGCGAGTCGAATGAGTCCAATGACCTACGTGACGAGATCGACGGAGTTGTCAAACATGCTCAGTGGATGGAATCGGACCAGTTGCCTTGGGCCGCGCAGCTCTTCAACACGCTCGCGACCAGCTCGAGGCATCATGTCGCAAGATGTATGGAAATCGGCCCTTTCCCAGCGAAGCTTACAGCGCTTTCGCGCAGAGCTGAGCAGGCCCGCGCCAAGCTACAGAAGGCTGAGCAGGAGAAGCTGGACGCTGACAAGTTCCTGGCCGAAGCTCAAGAGGCCGCCGCAGCAGCTGCACGAATGCTGGAGGAGCAACTCGAGGAAGAGGTGCGCGCCCTGTCTTCGCAGCCAGTTCCTCGAGCAATGTGCCTCACAAAACCCGAGCCCAACGTGGATGAGGCCAAGTAACGAAGTCGTTTGGGCACAATGGAATGCGTCGTGGACGCCGCCAAGCTCGCGCCCAAGCTGGTGGAAGCGCACAAGCATGCACCGCTGAACTGTTCGAGGAGCCGCCCGAAAAGCAGACACATGTTGAGAGGTCCAGTCTGGGCTCGCAGTCACAGCCGCAAATCAGAGAATGGAAATTTGAGGACCTCGACGTGGAGACGCCGCGCCATGACGCGGCAGACTTCGTCACCGCCAACGCAGAGGAGTTGGCATTGCGAGCCAAGGCGAAGCAGCTGGCGGCAGGGGGCTTCCGACCACCACGACTGCACCACCCTAACTATTGATAGCCCCCGTCGGGCTCTCCTTCGAAGCTCGAGAGGGCCCATGTCACGGGTATGTCGTCACCAAAAAGGTCGCCTACGAAGGTTCAGAGTTCCCCGACTACAGCTGTCTGCGCCTTTGTGACTTGTTCTACTGAGATGTGGTGGAGGAATTCGCTTCGCCTCTCAGTGTTGGTCATATTGCAGGAGTCTACGTGTCACCACCCAGTTCGGCAGCAGACGAGTCCTTTCTTACTCACCACCCCGGTGCTATGCCAAGTTCAAGCTTAGCTTCCGATTCGCTCCGTTTGGGAGGCGACCAACAGCCGGTTCAGTCGCTCGGCGTGGCTACGGACTTCACAGCCGTCTCCTCCAACTCCAGCTCACAGGCCACGACCCAGTCTTTCACCGAGTGGTGCGTCTTGGACCATAGACTGCAGGCGGACATAGTCGCGCTGCTTGAACTGCGCCCTACGGCAGGAGACCAGATTAAGCGAGGGCAAGCTTGGGCAAGACGTCGAGGCTACCGCCTAGGGGCTGAAGCGTGCGTCATCACAGGGAGTTAGGCGCCCTCTATTTCTAGTAGCACAAGTTTGAGAGCGCGCGTGCTCGCATCCCTGCGGCAGAATATTCGCCCGCATGCACGTATCCCAAGTCGCGTTCAAAGTTTTAGGGAACGGTCCACGACGATGTGCAGATCCTCTTCGTGTCGGTCTACGGGAAGGTTTTTGTGGGCCTGGGGGGGGAACGCAGAGCTCCTGGGAGCTGTCGCGGAGGCGGTCAGAGCCTCTCGCCTGCCTGTCTCCGTCGCTGGGGACTGGGACCTCGACGCCGAATTTTTGTTGGACAGATTGTTTTCTGAAGCTTGGTTTCCTAAATCCGTTGCACGCGCACGCGGAAAAGCCAACCTGCAACGAATTGATCATCGAATTACTCGCGCTCAGTGACGTGTTTCTTCCCTCTGTCAGTTGCGCGAGCCACCGCGAGGATGCCCCTGCAAGACCCCGCGCAGCGGTTGTCCTTCGTCTCACTGGTGTCGGGAGTGATAAATACATCGATCGGCGCATGCAGCCAACAATTTTTAGGCCTCCGAAGGATAATGAAGCGCTTGTGGCTTGCGACATTTCGAACAGGCCAGGTTTTCAGCTTCCGTTTCTTTTTCTTTTTTTGGGGGGGGGGGGGGGGGGAAACGGTGGATGGCTCAGCGCTGCGTTGGTTTGCATCTGCTGAACTCTTCATCTACGTGTACGTGGCCAACCCGGTGCACGACAGGCCCCGCTATGGCGGTCGAACCTCTGGCTGCTGCCTGGAAAAATGTGCCTCGGAAGGTGCGCCCTGGGAAACAATGTCCGTCGCACAGCCAGCGCTGGGGCCCAAATGTGGCTGTCGCTGCGCCGGGTGACACTGCAGCGGCTAGAACGGCAGGACTCCAATGCCCCCGATCGAGCCTCAGTCCTAGCGAGTGCTGTTGCACGCATGGAGGATGATGGGCCTGTTTTCCACCACCACCACCACCATAAGTCGGAGGGGGGGAGGAGGTGGAGGAGGAGGAGGAGGAGGACGAGGAGGAGGAGGAGGAGGTGGAGAAGGAGGAAGAGGAGGACCCCTTCCCCTCCAACTTATGGTGGTGGAAAGCAGCGGCCTGCCTCGCACGCCGCATTCCCCCCCCGTCTCGAGGACCCCGCGTCTGGGCCTGGCGCCTGCGGCCTTGCGCGAGGGCGCGTGCAGGCTCAGGCGGGGAAGGAGGCGTCGGCGGCGAGACAATCATGGATGGCGTTTTCGGAGCTGGCTTTCCTAAGACGGGTGGAGTGGCCCGCAAGCTTGCTTGCGGCCAACAAGGTAACTCCAAGGCTGTTTTGGCCGCCGGCAATCTTCCTGCAGTGGGCCATGAGCCCCTTCAAACAACGTTAGGTTTTTGGGTGTCTCTTCGGAAAGTTCCGTCCATGGACTCGGAGCCCCACCCCCTTTCTTGGGATGTTTCTGAGGCCGCTCCCCTTCCTGTGCTGGATCCCGAGGCCGTTGAGACCGCGCTAGGTTCTTTTCGACACAACGCGGGATTGAGGTGGGATTCATTCCACCCCAGGTGGATCCAGAGGCCCCCAGAGGCCCCACTGCATGCGCCGATCGAAATTCTGCACCGGCGGGAAGCCGAGCCCGAGTTGACCGACATCTTGCTGACGCTCATTAGGTGGTCTCGAAATGGGAGTCTGGGTAGCCTGACAGACTCATCCGGGGAACCTCCAGTGAAACGTCTTGCGTCAAAACCGCCAGAGTCCATAACTTCCTCGCGGCGGTGGCTCCCCAGCTATGCTGCGCCAGTTGCAATGCTTTCGCTGGCCTGAGGAAGTTCTGCGAAATGGTCAGCCACCAGGAACTTTCGCGCGCTGCCACGGACACGGATTTTCCTCTGACCCTTTCGAGAACCCTCTGTTCCTTGTGCAGGGGGCCCCGATGGCCTCCTACCAGCTGTCGGTTTCGGATGGCATTCCTGCGAATGGGTCCACTATTGCTGGCTGTTCGCGCGCGACAGGACTGGGCAAACCGATAGCGATCACGACTCTCAGGAGAATGGGGGCGAAATGCAACCTGGTTAGAATCAGTAACCTCATATATTACATCCGCCTTCGGGTCACCGCCGCTTCCTCATCGCTCCTCGTCCTTGTCCTCGACCTCGTTTTCCTCATCATCCTCCTCCTCCACCTCCTCCCACTTCAAGTCCTTTCTCTCCCTTCTCCACCTCTTCCATTTCGTACTCTCTTCCTCCCCTCCCCGTTCCCTCCCTCATCCACGACGACTGGGTCCAGTGTGGACTACGACGACCCACGCTAGAAAAGGACACCTGCTAATAAACCGTTGGAATTGTTGGACGTTCGTGGCCATTCTGGGGCCCCTGGGCCTTGGGGCCTCCGAAGCTTCAAGGGAACTGCGGGAATCCCCAAGAACCTCCGGGCTCAGGATCCAGGGCAGACCGAGAACTTACGACGCCCGAGCCTCAGCTCACCCTTCCAACACTTCCTCTGCCACTGATCCGGCGAACGCGCAGGTCGGCCGGGCAGCTCGGGGGCACTGAGCGGCCAATCGAGCACCGCACGAGAGGAGGGAACGTTGGAGGCGGCCAGGGGGTCTGAGCTGGATAGGTCCAGACAACGTGTGCCACGAAGGAGGGATAAGGGCCAATCTTCTCAAAATCTGTCCCTGGACCCCTTCCAGGGGTCCATTCGGCGTAGTTTGTTATCCCGCATCCGTTGTTTGACTTTGCCAAGGCCCGAAAACGGCCCTCGGAGGCGCTGATCGGATGCAACGCTGGGTCACCTCAGACCTCCAGCCAGCTATAAGGGAAACGGAAGTGCAGGGCGGTCGCGGAGAAGAGGGAGGGAAGGGCAGCACGCGTCCGACGTCCGTCGTGCGCAGTCCTTCCTGGGCCGCGTCACCGCATTCCCTTCTGCCTCTTGAGCTCCTCGCCGTCGGCGCGGGCGCAACACGGCCCAGGTTGACTGAGAGGCACGAGCTGTCTGTCACGTAGCGTCGTCTATCCTTGGTGTCCGTTCCATGGGAGCCTACGAGGCCCCAGGCGCTAACCGATTTGGGCCTGATTAAGATCTGATTTGGAACACAAGTGGGACTGGATTTGGAACTTTGGACCGGATCCGCCCCTTCACAAGGGAGACGAGAAGAACGAGGAGGGCGAGGAGGTGCAGGAGGAAGGACTAAATGGGGTCCAAATCTGGTGCAGCTGGAAAGCTGACTTCAATATCGCCACCCAAAGCCCCCATGAACAGACATCGAATCTATCAGGGGGGCGTAGTGACCGAAAAGTGCTCGAACATCTGCCCGAGTGTGGCAGAAGCCGGCGCCCGAAATTGTCCGACCAAACCCCAAGTGTGACCGAACCGTTTGGCTCGGAGCCGATACGATGTTCCGTTTCTACTACAAGGTTGGTCACACTACGTTTTCGGCCACAAATTCGGGCATATTGTCGGTCACATTGTTCTTCGGCGACTCACCTTTTTAGCTGATAAGAACCGGGCACAATGATATCTGATTCACCTTCCCCCCACTTCGCCTCCTCCTGCTCGTGCTCCCTTCCGTCGTCCCTGTATCCTCGAGGGCCCTGCCGGCCCTGAGTCCTGGACGGGTGCTCGCTGGCCCAAGGGGCCAAGGACATGTAACGCACAAAGGCGTCACAGACTGCCTTCAGTCCATTGACTAGCAACTAGCATGGCGTGGCGTACCATTTCAACGGAAGTCCACTGCAAATCACGGCGCAACAAGGTACGCGGTACGCATGTCACAGCAAAGCACGGCGAAGCACAGCAACGCACGGCAAAACGTACATTGCAGTATTATGGCAACGTGGGCACGAACACGATACATCATAGCGTGGCCGCTGTAGCACATTCCAATCGAGAACACAGCATGCAATTGAACAGCAGAACACCCTGAAGGTGAGGGTGGGGCCTGGTTCGGGGACCTCGCTGCGACAACAAAACGAGTGATGCCAATTCAGACCATTGCAAGCCATAGTGAGTGAGCCACAGGCTTCCCCCTTTCTACCTCTTCCGTACCGTCGGCAGGCTGGGCAATATACTTGGCACCACTGTAACACAATATCGTTGCGCACTTCGCTTACTTATCTATGACTATGGCCGTTTCCTGCGTTCCCCATTTCGACATGTTCTGTCTGGGGTCTCCAGGGGCCTGGATACAAAAGGTCAACCGTTACACCAATCATGCATCAGCGGAGTCGGACGTCTCAACGTCAATACTCATTGGAAGACTCAAAAGTGCACGGCGTGTCATCGTCGTTGCCTGAGGAGGGTTGCATCAAGTTCCCCCCTGGTTTGCTGAAACATGTTTAGTCTGTTGCGCGGGTGTCTGGCTGCATGTCTTCTCCGTTCATCCTCGTGGCGGCACGACGTACCATGCTGCGCCTGATGCAACGGAGCGCGCGGAATGCTTACATTGAGCAGACAGCAGCACAATGGATACAATCAACCTCGCACCATCAGGATGTTGAGTACGGATCGAAGCCCTCTTTGGCGCCAGTTGCGCCCAGATTTGCAGTGAGCACCGGGTGATCAACCCCAGGAGGGACCCACTGGAGGCCCGAACCACTTCTGAAACCAGAGTGGCCATCACTTCGACGTGCCGACTGTAGGCAAGGAGAGGGGAGTAGGCAGGACGAAGAAGGGCAACGAGGAGCGGGAGCAGACCGGTGCCGCGCCATACACAAGCACACCGCCGCGAGGAAGAGGCAGGTCCAGACAAGATGCGGCCCCGCAGGGCGGCGGAAGGGGCCTCGCAAGACAGGCCCCGCCCACCCGCCCCCGCACCCTCACAGGCAATCATCGCTCGGCCGTGCTCCGCGCAAAGGTGCTGTTGAACTCAGACTTCTGAGAAGGGGGCACGATCGAAGACGAAGAGGGCGGCGATCGAGGATTTGGAGCACAAATGTTCAACGACACGCGAGCAACGAAGAGCGAGCAGTCTGAAAATGACCGCTGCTGTTGTGGCTGCGGCTGTGGCCGCTGCTGCTGCTGTCGTGCGGGCGGGCCTCGTGCCGCCGGCCCACTCCCCTGCCACGGGATCCCCGCGCAGCTGGCTCCGAGGTGACGAGGCCTGCGCGCATCCCCCCGCCCGCGGGGTACAAAGAGGGCGGGGGGAGGTTCGCTCATCAGGCGTACGGCTGACCCGAGGACAGAATAGTAGCCTTCAAGAATATGAGGCCCTCCGCCAGTTAGACCGAAGAACATCCGAGGGTGCCACCCCCGAGGGTGCATAGGAACATCCAACAAACACGAAGAACATTAGGGTACCCTGTCTGGACCCGACCTCGGTCCGACCTTCTGCTTAGTAGTTTCGCTCGGTGGGGGGATGGGGGAGCCGAACGCGCGGTAGTGTACGCCATGATGGCAGAGCTGTGACGGCCATGAGGACCATCCTGAAAATCCATGAGGAGCGCGACGCGGATACGGTACGGTTCGCGCTCCTCCGCGCCGAGCCTGTGCTTCTCGCCTAACGCTTCTGGAGGGTACGGGGCACTGGGGGCGCGGCTCGGACTCCAGCCTGCCAGCATGCCCCGAGGTGGTACCGCGGCGCCGTCCGCGGGCTGTGTTGGGGGCCTATCGGGTCATCCTTGGAGGCTGGGGGAGGCCTGGTCATAGAGGCCCAAATCACAAAAAAGCCGCAGGTGCTTGCATGAGCTGTGCAAGCTCGGAATTTCGATCTTCGGAGCGTCGACGACGGCTCAAGCGATCGTCAAGACCTGCCAAAGAGGGAGGGAGGGAGGCAGGGAGGTAGGGGGGTGGAAGGGTGGAGGAGGAGGAGGAGGAGGAGGAGGAGGAGGAGGAGGAGGAGGAGGAGGAGGAGGAAGGGTGGATCGGGGAGGAGGGAGGAAAGAGGGGCGAGGAGGGAGGGAGGGATGGAGGGAGGAAGGAGGAAGATGGGGAGGAGGCACGAGGCTCGAGGCGCGATGGGTACCCCCTCAAAGTTATTGTCCTCCTCCACCCTCTCATCCAGGCCAGCCAGCGGCAGGCGGGGTGGGCTCCTCCAACGCCGCGTCGGCGTCGAAGCCAGGCGCACCTTTGGATCCACCTCCTACTGCTGCTGCTGCTGCTGCTGCTGCTGCGCTTGCCCCTCCTTGCTAATTATACAAGCATAAAGAGTGTCACCACACTGAGGACGTGAAAGGCAAAAGAGCACTGGCCGAAGCAAGGAGAGGGGCGACGGGCAAAACAAAACAAGGGTATCAGCCAGGCCCAGCAGGTCCAAGCGTGCGTCGGGGAAAACATCGAGGTCCACCGCATGGCGACGATCAGCCGCCACGTCCTCCTCCTTCTGCTCCCCCTTTATTATCCTGCTGCTGATGCTGATCATTTTCTGACTCTTCCTCCTGCTGTTGCTTCTCCTGATCCTCCTGTCCCGTCGATGCTGCTGTCTCTCAGCCTCTTACCGCTCCTCCTACTCCTCCTCCACCTCGTCCTTCCCTTCGCAACGACCCTGCTCTCGCTCTTGCCCCTGAGTCTGCAGCTGCTCGGCCTTGTAGATAGCAGGTGGGCAGTAGGTAGACAATATGTAGACAGTGGATAGAAAGTAGGCTATCCTCCTGCTCGGCCTTATAAACAACAAGTAGGCAGCAGGTAGACAACCAAGATCAAAACAACAAACAGAAGGACGAACAAAGAATGGGGAGAAACTGATATCTGCTCTTTCTTGCCCCCCTGGCATTGATACCGCACGGCCCCTGGTCCGCCTCATCCTCCCCTGTCCCTCCTCCGTCTCCTCCTCCTCCTCCTCTTTCTTCTCCTCCTCCTCCTTCTCCTCCTACTTAGCCTCCCTGCTCTTTGCCCCCCGCCGTTCCCCCCTCCTGTCCGAAATCCTGGGGAGGAGGCGGAGGGGGATGCGGAGGAGGGATCTTTGCTGGAGCACTGCTAGTACGCGCCGCGTTTGCCACGAGGACAGTCATGAGCATTTGTGGGGTCGCAGACAAAAGGAGGTCGTGGGAGGGCCGGGGTTCGACTTGACCCAGCAAACCTCACAGGCAATCAGGCATTAAACTTCAGCTTGGAACAACGCAGAGGAAGGACAAGGACGATAATAATGAAAAGGGCATGATGGGGAGCGGGAGACGCATCACCAGAAACATGCGACTGTGGAAGGGGAGGTGCGACATGCTACATGATCAGGAGCAGCACCATGAGCAGCAGCAGGACCATGACCGCAAGGACACAGACTGTTGAAAGAACAAGCGTGCCAACAGGTGGTGGGGAACGACCTTGCGTGACCCCCCACCTACCCCAGCCTGAATCAAAAGGTGGACCCCACAGGCAGAGCACAGAACGCTTGAAACCAACACGTCGCATGCGACGCACTCCAATGATTAGGCCAGGGGGTGGAAGGGGGGCATGTGACTGTATGCCTCGGGCGCTGTTGTTGCGACGTGTTGAGTTGCAATCGGTCGAATGACCTAGAAAGGGAGGAGGAGGGCGGGGAGAAGGGAAAAAGGCGAGCAGGAGGAATGAAGAGAGGCGAAGCGGCATCAGGAGGAGTGGACACACGAAGAAATACGCTCAGCAGGCGAAGTGTGGAGAAATTGAGCAGATACACGTTGAAAGATAAAGATGGAGGAGGAAGGGAAGGATTTTCACAAGGAGGACGAGACTGATACTTTGTCATCCTTGAGGTAAAGACACTAAACAACGTCCCAGAGGGGGCCGACAGGTCCACATCCTTGTCCATACTGGAACCGGTGGCACTGGTTACACGCAAGGCTAATACGATGAACAACGAGATCGAATATTAAAACACAAACAAAAACATGACTCTACCTACACTGCAATGTCGAAACTTAATTCGTAGGCAGTCTACTACTTCTACTACTGCTACTACTACTACTACTACTATTACTACTACTACTACTACTACGACTGGCTACAACTACTACTACTGCTGCTACTACTACAGCTGCTACTACCACTACAACTGGTGCTACTATTACGACGCCTACGGCTACGACGGCTACTACTACTACTACTACTACTACTACTACTACTACTACTACCTACTGCTACTACTACTACTACTTCTACTACTACTACTACTACTACTACTACTACTACTACTACTACTACTACTACTACTACTACTACTACTACTACTACTACTACTACTACTACTACTACTACTACTACTACTACTACTACTACTACTACTACTACTACTACTACTACTACTACTACTACTACTACTACTACTACTACTACTACTACTACTACTGCAACTACAAACGCTACTCCCACTACTACTGCTACTACGACGATGAGTATCACTACTACTGCGACTACTACTAACACTACTACTACTACTACTACTGCTGCTGCTGCTGCTACTACTACTACTACTACTTCGACTACGACTACTGCTACAACTGCTACTACTAACGCTACTACGACTACTGCCACTACGACTACGACTACGACGACGACGAGGACTACTACTACGACTGCTACTACTACTACTACTACTACGACTAAGTGGCCACGGCTACTACTACGACTACGACTTCGACTACTACTATGACTAC